CCCCAGCAGCCACCCAAAGGCCCCAGCCAGTACATCCCCCCCTAGAACACAAAGCACAGAACTGGGCCTCCAGCCTTAGTCCCCACAGCTGCAGCCCATCTCCTTCCTGTGGAAGGTGAGTGGGAAGCAGCTGGAGTGCCAGATCTCCTAACGGAACCCATTTATGGATGAGGAAAAATGGGTTCAGAGAGGGAAATTCACTTGTCTGGAGTCACTCAGCAAGAGGAAGGGTGATGTTTAAATCCAGGTCTTTCAAATTTACTCGAGAGCCGGAACTTAACCACAGACCAAGGTGCCGGCCACAGGAAACAGCTGGTGGGACGGGAAGCAACTACTGCTGCAAGCACTGCCCCGCCCAGCTCCCCCAGCTTTGCGCCCCCTGCTGACCACTCACATCCGTGGTGAGGATCAGCCCCATCAGGTACATGGCTACACAGATGAGGCCTGAGAACACTGCCTTCTTGGGCCGCAGGTAGTATGGGAATTCGTCTGTCACTGCAGTCACTATGGTCTCTAGAAAGGCAAACTGCAAGGGGCATTGAGATCAGAGTTCTACCCACACACATACCAGTTCCCACTCCCACGGGCAAGGCTCACCTGGCTATCCAAGCCAAGAGTCAGGAGCATGAAGAAGAAGAGGAAGGACCAGAAAGGAGACAGGGGCAGCATAGTCATGGCCTGTGGGTAGACAACAAAGGCCAGGCCAGGGCCTGGGCCCAGGGCATGCAGGGTCAGCAGCCTAGGGTACACAGAGTTCCCCATATGCATTTAAATACATAGGATGTCTTGTGTCCGTGTGGGAGCACTCTCACTTGCCACACCCAAGAGACAAGCACTAACCAGACAATAACATCCATCACTTTCTTAGTTTCCAGAACTAAGGCTGCTACGCAGGTGCCCAGTACATGGGACTATTGAATATGAATGAGCAATCATGCACAGATACACACAGGGACAAAATGTAGCGCCTAGTCAGAAGACAGGTCTGCACACATGCATTTGTACAGAGAATCCCACTGGTACACAGACGTACACTCATCCACTGACACAAGACACACTGACTCACAGGTCATTGGCACCTTAGATTCACTTTCACACATACATCTCAAGCCGGGATGTGATCTGTTTGCACTTTCACACATACATCTCAACACAGATGTACTTGTTTGGACAAACAAGATCTGATAAGACAAGACAGCCTCATACAGAAACTCTTTTGTCTCCAGCAGATTGTTGTTGCACACTCTTGCACACCCATGCATTTGCACACACACACACACACACACACACACACACACACACACAAACACAGCTATCCCATATCTTGCCAGTGTGTCTTGATAGCATGCCCTGTGGTCCAGCCACCTCTCACCCAACCAAACCTTCAAATGATGCCCCCACCTACCTGCTTTGGCCACTTGGTCCACAGGCACACCCAGCTCCTGAGACATGTAGCCCAGCACTGAGAAGATAGCGAAGCCAGCCAGGATACTGGTGATGGCATTGCCCACAGTGACAATGAAGGTGTCTCTGCCAGGAGAGTCCAAACCCAAGCCAGGTTAAGCTGGCCACAACCTCAACCCAAGAGAGCCTCGTGGGCAACCGTGCTCCTGAGTTTGGCCCCTGGCACTGGGAAGCTTGCAGGCACTGACCTGTAGATGTTCTGGTGGAATGTGTTGTAGGAGGCAAAGGTGAGGAGACCCCCAAAACCCACTCCTAGGGAGTAAAAGATCTGAAGAGCAGCTTCAATCCACACCTGTGCCAAGGAAAGAGGGACAGGGAATGCAGAGAGAGCCCAGGAGAGGAGAAGGAAGGGTGAGGATGAGAAACAGGTTCAGCAAGGAATGAGGAACAGCCAGAGTCACAAATGAGAGCCAGGAGCAGACCCAGTGTCAGCACTTATGATGCAGGATGTGGGCAAGTTCTTCCCCCTTTCTGGGACTCAGTTTACCACCCAGGGTCTAGCAGATGGTCTCTAAGCCTGGTCCAGTCTTGAAGGAAGGTGTGACTAATGCAGAGTTGGCAACAGATTGGAGTTGATCACTGGCCCATGTAACCACTTTACTCCCTGGCTAGAGTCAGAGGGATCTGAACTGGGACCCTTCTTTACCAGTATCTGTACATCCTGGATGAGCCCTGTTACCTCTCTGCACTCCAGGTCCCTTGTCTGTGGTGAAGGACTTAGAATAGTGCCTGCCTCATAGAGAGGCACAGTGAGGGTTAAATCACTACAAAAGCTGAGAAGTGTCAGGTACAGTCAACGGCCAATATTGTCAACTGCCAGGACCATGGTGTGATCATCACTGGCACAAAGTCTCTCGCTTGGGCTTTGGAGCCAGACAGATCATCTGAATGGAACCCCAGCTATAAGACCTTATGCTCATCACTAACTCTTGTAAGCTTCTGAGAGAGAGAGAGAGAGAGAGAGAGAGAGAGAGAGAGAGAGATGGAGAAAATAATAACTGCTTCATAGGATTTTAAAGAATAAATGAGGATACACAGGAAGGGCTGGTTCAGTGCTGCTCCTGGAGACTCCCAGGCCTGTGGGGAGGTCCCATCCCTACCCCTCCCCTCCTTTCATGCTCCCTGCTCACCTTGGAAGACAACAGGTGGTGAAACTGGGGAGTGAGATAGAACTGGATGCCCTTCCAGGCCCCGGGAAGGGTCACTCCTCGAACTAACAGCATGAGCAGGATGAGGTAGGGAAAGGTGGCTGTGAAGTACACCACCTGGAAGAGGGCAGGTTAGAGTGGCAGGGGGGGAGTTTAGAGTGGCAGAGGGCCCTCCACACAGCTCTGCCTGCCCAAATCCTCATCCCAGACACCCACCTTCTCAACTTTTGGTGGTCCTGAGTCAGGAACAGCCACCATTCTGGCTATGTCTCCCGCTCTCTCCATCACCAGCCCAGCGTTGCTACTCTGCTTCCAAGGCTACCCCAGTTCCATTTCTATTACTTCCCCTGGTACAGATGCATCACTGGTGGTGAGTCTCCCCATCCTGTGCCTAGCCTGTGCCCCTGAAAACCACCTGACACCCAACTTCCTGAACATCTAGGCAGCCACTTCTCTCTCCATCTCATCTTCTGCCTTGACGGTGACCATGGTGGTCCTCCTCTCTAACACTTTTTACCCTACACTGCATAGTGATGTCCTCTTGCTTAGCAAAGGTCATTTACGGCCTTTGACAAACAGCCTATTGCCCTTCTCTCCGCCCATCACCTGCAGTGCACACTGGTTTCCTCATATCTAGTTTGTCTTCACCTGCTAATAGTAGTCCAATTTTCCCTATTTGGGATTCACTTCATGTCCGGCTGCAGTGGTGGGCTCATGAACAGGCCAAGAAAACAAGATAATCCTTTCCTGCCACAGAGATTGAGTGGGGGTGGGTACAGAGCTTGCCTTACACAATAAGGTAAGTTCTACGAGATCTACAGGCTGGGGAAGCAGGTAGGGAAGGCAGTGTAGAGGAAGACTTCAATGAGACAGAGGTCAGAGGAGCAGGCTGTGGTAACAGCCATAGAACCCTAAACCCACCCATGCCAAAGTTGTCCCCCACCTGAGGTGGGTTGGGGTGCTTTCCAGCTAGTATAACATCTGGGTATAGATCACCTGCTGCTCCAAGAGGTCTGATTGACATACCCATCCCATAAGCACTCCACAAACCCTCACTGAAGCTCTGCAAAGTGCCAAGCTCTGGGCAAGGATGCCAACTTGAATAACCTATGGATGTTGCCCGAAGCAGGCACCTAGCCTAGAGAAGCAGGGAGGCCCAGTGCCCTATTAACCTCCATGCCCTCCTTCAGGCAGAGCCCTGCCCAGAGCCCCTCTTCCCTTCGCTGGGTGAATCACCTTCTCAGCCTTGGCCATACCCTACTTCCTTTCCAGCCCCTAAATTTTGGCACCCAGCCTCCCAAGCCTCACCTTGCCCGAGGACTTCACCCCCTTGAGGATACAGAGGAACACGATGACCCAGGCCAGCAGCAGGCAGAGGCAGAGGTTCCAGCGAATCTCCCCAGGTTGGCCAATGCCCTGGCTTCCCTGAATGTGTAGGACATAGCGGCTGTGGGAGACAACAATCCCAGAATCCTCTGGTCACCCTGCCATACTCCATGTCCAGCCTTCCAGGCCCAATAGCTCCCCCCCACCCCCACCGCACCTCAAGTGATGCTTTGCAAATCCCTCCCAGTTTTCTCAGATTGGCTGAGTCCAGCTAGCCTCTACCTCTCCCCACCTCCTTTGGGGAGCAAATAGCAGGTGTAGGCTTGATGGATCTGGTATTCGCACATAAATGCACACATGTGTATACATTTACATACACACATGCACTCCATTCGGGAGCCTGGCCATGGCTGTGCTCCTCTGAGCCATGGTTCATATTGGGTAGTCCCACGTGCAAGGCTCCAAGGCCCACAGTTCCTCTCTTTGCCTCTTGGTTCTTCATGGTAGCAGCTCTCTCTAGTTCTAGTCTGGTGCCCTACCTTTCCATGTGGGTCCTTGGCTCTCTACAAAGCCTTTGTATTAAACTCCCCTCAATTAACCCTTTTGGCAGAGCCATCAGCCATTTGTCCATACCTCACCTAATGTGATCAGCCTTGGTATTGCCACAGAGACTCTTGGCAGCCACAGCAACCATGTCAAGTTTTTAAGTTTTGCATGGCATACTGAAACTCACAGGTCACATTTTAGCAGACACAGGTCCTCTGGCTGGCCTGGACTGCCCAGGCCAAGGAAGTTTAGGAGACGGAACAATTTCAAGACATGAACCTATTGGGGGAATCCTTTGCAGAGGAAGGAAGGGACTATTCATCCAGAGACTGGGCTACTCTAGAATATCCTGGAACAAGACAGAGAGTCAGGAATCCTAGTGTCACCATCGCTGCTAGTGAGCAAACCTCTGGCCCTTGTTTCCATTCTAGAATAGGCTAGTGAGTCACAATGTCTTCCTGAAGCTACCATTCCAGGGCTCATGAGTGCCTGGAATTGCAATGATTGTTTTATCCATCCCAGGCAACCTTTATCTCACCTCTGTTCTTAAACTAATCTGAGATGGTTCTAACTTGGTAAGGTCCTGGCTGTATGTTAAGTACTTTACCAACTGACATAGTAGCTCAATAAATGCTTATTCAAAAAATGAACACATAGTCAGGCGGTGATGGTGCACACCTTTAATCCCATCACTCGGGAGGCAGAGGCAAAGGCAGGCGGATCTCTGTGAGTTCGAGACCGGCCTGGTCTACAAGAGCTAGTTCCAGGACAGCCTCCAAAGCCACAGAGAAACCCTGTCTCAAAACAAACAAACAAAAAAAGAATATATGAGTGAATGACTAAATGGATTATGTCCTATGAAGCAGGTATGGTTCTTACCCCCATTGTGACAGTGGAAGAAACTGAGACTCTAAAACGTTACTTTTGACAATAGACGTCACTCTCACTAACAAATGGACACTCACTCACCCCCTCGCCCTGGAGCGAGACCACAGTTTCCACGCACTCTTTTCTCCAGTCTGCACAACCGCCTTCTGAATTATTTACTACAGTTGTCCTGTTCTAAAAGTAGCTGGCTAGGTAAGGAGCCAGGATTAAACTCCTTTGTCCCTCACAGGCCTGCACACCACCTCAGCCCGTCCTCAGTGGCTACCCAAGTCAGGGTCACCTCCAGTACTCCTCACTGGGGCTGACAGTACTGCTGAGGTTAAGGGGCAGCACCCCGTTGCCATCCTTGGAGCCTCTGTGCTCCAGGCAGCGCTCTGTGTTCCACCAGTTGCCACAGTGCTCCCAGGGCAGGTTGCTGGTGAGGGAGGCAAAGAGGTAGAAGAGGACATAGGCGATGATCATGTTGTAGTAAATAGCCACCAGGCCTACGATGAGCAGCATGGCCGCACCTGCACCTGGAGCAGGGGAAGGATAGCATCACCTCCCTGCTAGAGCCTGTGAGCAGGGCGACTACTCCCCAGCGTTCCTGATGGCTCAGCACAGCCAGAGGTCACTGTGGCCTTACCTTTGAAGAGGGGGCTGATTTTCCAGACAGCCAGGGGTCCCAGGCTGGAGAACTGGCCCAGAGAGAGCTCAAGAAAGAAGAGGGGAATGCCACAGATGGCCAGCATGAGGAAGTAGGGAACAAGGAAGGCTCCTGCAGAGAGATGGTGGTGGGATTCAGGTGAACCAGCCACCAAGGCTCCTTACTGGCTGACCCACCACTGTCCTTTGACAGCAGCCATCTACCATCCTCTGCAGGTGGCTGGAGCACTTCTCCCAAGGGTCACTAAGGTTGGGGGAGCTAGTGGAGATTTACATGCGTTGTAGCTAGAGGGCCCCAGGAGTGGCTGGGCACAGAGCAGATGCTCCAGAAACACCTACTGCGTGAGTGAATACATGAAGAATAGGTGAATGAGCTTTCTTCCAAAGGGTGCCAGTTCTACACCTCCAGAATCTGGCTCCAGTGGTCCCTTCCTCATGAATGCTGCCTCAGATGCTCTGGCTGACACCTGAGATTTCATGGGCCCTGAAGTTTCCCAGGCCTCCCCCCTCCCACTTCTCTTCACACATAGACAGCCACCTCCTTCAGACAGCTGCCTACCACCAGCTGGCTCTGGTAGGGCTGTAGTCATACAGCTAGCCCTCTGCCCTCCCTCCTGAAGAGATGTGGGTAAATATCCCAAGTCACACTGATCACTTTCTTTGCAATTCTATATGGATTCATTTGGGTGATCTTCTAAGTGTCTCTGGGTGGCTAAACCCTCCAGGACAGAGTCATTCCAGAAGTGTCTATCTCTGGGCTCCCCACCCCAACTTTCATGGACGAGGGCTGCCTGTCTGAGGAAAAAGTACATAAAAATAGGGAAGCATGAAGTGGGAGAGGGGAGACTCCCGGGGTCTTGGAGGCTGGCGGTGGGCTCACGATTTTGCATGGTCTAGTGTTACCTGGATTTCTTTCTGCCAACATACACTTCTTAACAAGTTGGGGAGAGAGAGTTGGAGATACAGTAAGAGTATGCAGCCCTGGAGAAGACAGTTGGAAGATTGAGTCTGCACCATGTGACTTCGGACAGAGAACTAGCTACCTCTGCATTTCTAAGGTACTTACCTAGAAGGGTTGTTATCAGGGCATGAGACAGGCACTAAGCCCAGGACATAATGGGTGGTGTATTTAACCCTAGCCTTTGATGGTGAGGCTTAGAATGTTAACTTGATGGAGAACCAAGGACAAAAGGAATTAGTTACTTGTAACATAGCATAGATCTTGTGTTTGCAATCTAAATGAAAACAAAAACAAAAACAAAAACAGGAGAGAAGGGAATACTGAAGATTCCAGAAAGGGAATGGTGGATGGAGCAGGGCCTTGGAGGAGGTGTGGGAGGGGACAGGAGACAATGCAAAGCCTATGAGTAGCGACAGTGGGTATCACACTTTAAACCCACTGTGGGCAAGCAGGCAGCTCCTTCTGCCCACCAAAGGGCATGGTAAGCATAAGGCCTCAGGGAGGAAACCTGGGGACCATCCTGGGGATGGCAAAGTGGGAGGAGGGGCGTGGTGATGGATAGGGACAGGCAGAGCAAGCTCCCTCCTGTCC